GCATCTAGTGTAGAGGGTGCTTCAAAAATTAAACAAAATAATATAGTCATATGTCACACAGAGCTGTTTTGATCAATAACAGATCACATATGCAATAGCAGACTCCTGAGATTATAACTGAGCTGATAGAATTCTTATTGCTTTGTGGTAACATCATCATCATGGTAGAGCTGAATGTGTTATTCATATGATTGTGGTGATGCTAATGTAAACAAGTTATTGCACAGTTAGAGGTAGGAAACTGTAGCATGGTCATTGCCTACAGAATACACTGCTTGGTAGAGATAGCAAGCTACTGTGTAAGTTTACGGATTTAGCATGGTTTTTTAAATCATCTTTTAGACTGCACTTCTACTTACTACAATAGAGCACCACTGAACACCAGTTTAGTATAATTAACTTTAGTACAAACAGTGTGCCATGTTATGTCAACACCAGACTCATAGATCTCTGCTAATTATATATCTGAGGCCATGTGGAGTGACCAAATCCTGCACCATTCAAAAAGAGTCTGTACTTAGAATGGCTACACAATGAAGAAATCACCTCACCTCGCAGTTCTTGAGACTCATCTCATCCTTAAGTGACATATGTGAACCCTTAGTATTATGTACAGTTAATACACAGTCAATAACTTACTACTAACACTATTGATCATTCTGTCCTGTGTCTCTTAGTTGCTGTAGACCCTGTGCCCTGCTGAGGCTGGGGCTTCCAGTTGCCACCCTAGGGAACCTCACTATCCAATGGAAGAAGACCACAGACAGCCAAGGGTTAGGATGTAGCATTAATTTTTAAAAGAACTAGCCCCAGTCAGTGACACCCTATTTGGGTATGTATTGTTTGCTACATGCTTCATATAAAGGCAATGCTTATGGCTTCTGGTCTAGTTGATATTAATAAATGGTCATTGGCTAGAGGGTAGAATAAGCCTTAGAAGCAGGAGCATTCAGGAATGTATGGGAAGCTGACACTGAGTGGCTGTGCTCTCCCGGCCCTGGACTGTGCATCTGGGGGAATCTGAAGGCTGGCAAAAGGCTACCAGGATGTGTGGCAGGATTGACATTCAGTGGCCTTTCTAGTTTTGTACCCACAGTAGGCTAAAGGCAGCAGCCCCAGGGGTCAGAGGCTAGACACACAGATGAAACAATTGACAAGAATCAGGCAGAGTGCTTCAAATAAATAGGCCAGACCTCCAGGATGAAGGTGGGTAATGGGGGTAGGAGGACAGGGAAAAGTGATCTGAGCTCCAGGAGAAGCTGGGCACATTAGGCTCTCCCAGACATTCCAAGGTTCATACCACCTCACCTTTACTATGGCTACAGGGGTCTTGCTGGCTCCATCCAGGACTTCAGCAGCTGACTGCAGAAAATTCCCATCATATTTCTCATTATCTCAGTCTCCTTATCTCCAGTCAGGAGAACGATCCTGGTCTTGTTTCTTTTGCAGGGTTATTGAGAGAATCAAATGTAAAAGAACCTTGGAGAATATAAAGTTCTATAAAAACGATGCATTGTCGATACTGACACCCCTACTCCTGCTGCTCCCATGAGAAGTACTAACGACAGCTATTATATATCTGTCAGGTGTACCTTAAGTATTATCAGCAATCTGCCCTTCATTTAAAAAATGAAGAAACTGAGGCTGGAAGAGATGGTTCTACCATCTAAACAAAGACTCCAAAGTTTCCTGCTAGGACAACATGAGGCACCAGGAGCTAGGGTTCCAGGCACACAGCAGCCATCCTGCCAATCCGGACATCAGCTTTGTCCATTGTGAGCAAGACAAGTGGAGATGTCACAGCCTTGGAGGGAGAGGGATCTACAGAGTATGTGAGGGCAAAGTTGCCTTGGAAAGATCAATATAAGGAAGAGGCATCTTTTTTATTTTTAATTAATTAAGTGTGTGTGTGTGTGTGTGTGTGTGTGTGTGTGTGTGAGAGAGAGAGAGAGAGAGAGAGAGAGAGAGAGAGAGAGAGAGAGCGAGAGAGAGAGAGAGAGAGAGAGAGAGAGAGAGAGAGAGAAACAGGAATCTTATCTGACCCCAACACATCTTTGTCCTGTGCCTAAGGCACATATACAAGGTACACTTTTAAGACCAGTATGCAACAGCTTGTGCAAAGAGATTGAGTAAATTGGTGAATAAAAGGCCAAATTAGGACTCAAGTGCAGTAACACCTAACATACAAACATGCATACATACATACACACACTTGCATGCATGCATGTCTACTCCACAGGACTTCCTGGAGGGAGCCAGAGGCATCCCTGGAGACCAGAGCCTGTCTGGCCTAGTCCCCCTCAGAGTACTGTGGGGATAAACAGGAGTACTTCAGACAGAACTTCACATTGCAGGGACTGATTACCTCTGCAGTGGAGCTGTGCAAATTAGAGCGCACCAGCCCCACAACTGAGCAGGTGAGAGGAACAAAACAACTTGGATGCAGACCTGTTTACAGGAACAACATTCTTTTAGCGAGCCTGATAAGTCTGTTGCTAAGCCTACTTTGCTTCCTGTCACCATGCACCTGCTTCTCATGCAGGAAAGATAATCGCTCTGGGAACGGGCTCTGCTCAAGAGACCTGGCAGAATGCTGGCAGTGTGGAGCCAAGTCGGCCTTTCAACAGGCCTACCCCTTGTCCTCTTTGGGATGAAGGGAAACCCTACCTGGCAAGGAAAGGCTTTGCCCTGCTGGTTGTCTGCAGCTGAAACTGACCTGCAGAGAAAGAAAGACATCCCTGAACTCCAAGCTCAGAACAACTGCTGAACAAAGACCTCAAAGATTCTTGCTGGGACAACATTGAACATCAGGGGATGAGCTTCCAGGAGCATGGCAGCTATCACCTATCAAGCCAGGCAGTCACTTGCTTTATTAGTGCTGAGTGAGACAGGTGGAGGGAGAGAGAGCAGCCTGAAGGGAGGGGGTACTGCAAAGGGAGTTGGGAGGTGCCTGCCACAGAGAGGTTAGTACAAGAAGCAAGAGTTTGCAGTTGACTCCAAAGAAGAAGGTGGGGAGATCTGGGTAATTCTAGCCAGAATGAAGGGACAGTTGGTCTCCCATTGTCATCAGAGAGGTCCACAGGGCTTGTTAAGAGCCATTTGGGGTGTGGAGAGATGGCCCAGTACTAAGAGTGCTTACTGCTCTTCCATAGGACCCAAATTTAGTCCCTAGCACCCACATTGGAAGACCAAAAAACACCTGTAACACCAGCTCTTCAGCAGAGGCTGACATCTACACACATACATGTGTGTGTAGACTAATACAGACACATGATAAAAACATTAAAACAAATATTCTAAGCCAATTTGAGAGCCCTGCTGAAAATTTAAATCTGGAAATACACATGCATATGTGTGTGTGTGTGTGTGTGTGTGTGTGTGTATGAGTATGTAGTACGAATTTCTTTCTAAGCATTGTACACACACACACGCGCGCGCGCGCGCGCACACACACACACACACTCCCACACAGAGGTATTTTCTTTCTCTTGGCCTCTCTATCTCCCTCCCTCCGTTCCCCTTTAACATACAATGTGTGTCTTCTTAATTAAATAGGACCACCAGCCACCTCCAAACACACCAACATACACTTAAATAGAAATACCAGGTTGGGCTGGAGGTTATTCATGCATGCTTTGAAATTCCAGACTTTGAAGGAACCCAAGAACTTCAACTATCAGAAGTTGTCCTCCATATAAACAAACAGCCTAGCCTGTAATCCCTACCACTCTTCATGCCTAAGGCAAGGTTCTGCAAAGGCAGGAGCTAAGCACTTGCTTCAGAGCCCAGAACCATTACACTTTGGAAAGCAGCAGCCTTCAGCAGGGTCACTCCACAACAGGGGGGAGTGTGTCCCATAGCCCTTGGCAGAGTCTCTGTGATATGATAAATCCCAGCCACTTGGAGGCAGGGGTCCTGGGACCCTGGGCAGGTTTCTCTGGGTACCAGCATGCTCAGAGCTCACAACTACCTTCACTCTGAGAAGGGAAGGCATTGCTTTCTGCAAAACAAAGACTTAGACACAGGGAAAAAACAAATAAACAAACAACAACAAAAAACCCTAGGCAAAAAATCCTTGCCCAGGCATAGGACCTAAGTTGATGTCCACTTCCCCAGCACCATCCTTACTCTTGAGAAATAGGTTTAAAATGGTCATTCACAATGAAAATTTATTATAAATTTTCCATATATATATGGAACTGTCAAAGAATTTTTTTTAAGAATTCTCATTCATGAAATAAAATCGCTGGAGGCAAGTTCATTGAGATCAGAAATACCTTGACATTAGTCTGCATCTCAAACACGTCCATAGTACTTTCTAATTCATAGATTTACTGTCTGTATCAAATAACCCTAACCAATGTTGTTCCATTCTACAACAAATGAATCAATCTCAAAAACACTATAACAACAAACTCCAAAGCAGGTATTAGAAGTTTCCATGAACCAATAATGATGGAAGGAGAAGTTTATATCCCAGAGGCACAGCCTACTCCATAGTAACTTGTCACTCTCTGTGCCCAGCACAGAGCTAAAACCTAAGTCTGATGAAAAGCAGTTCAAAAGAATCTGTGAAGATCAACAAATCTGAGGATGAAGCCTGAAGTAACTTGCTGAAAGTCACTGATATGTTGTTACAGAACTTGAGTACAGACCTACTGACTCCTGATTACACAAAATATTCAGGCCTACCAAAGAGACAGACCATGGGTGTCACACCAGCCAGGTTCTAATGAGTCCCACTACCCTGAGGAAAGGCCCACCACAGGCCCAAGAGATCTTTACCAACTTGTCAGGTCCAAAGTCCAGATAGATTGTGGCAATAAAACAGAAATCACAAGTCACTTAATACCCAAATTCTTCAAACCAGCTCAGTTCATTTCCTTACTTTTGCATCAAACAGGAAAGTCAGGAGACTGGGGTGCATGTGCCTACAAAGGTGAGGCCCTGGGGACCAGCTGTATGCCTTGTTTTAGGCCCAATTCAGCATCATAACTTACCTACTGCCCAAGTGTCCGAGAAATCACTAGCCCCCTCTCAGCCTCAGATTGTCCATCTGCAAAACAAGAAGACAACCACAATGAACCCTGGGTGTCCTCTGCACTCATAGGCATCACAAATCCCACACCTAATACTGCCTGCTACCTACTCACCAGCCCATGGAACAGATGATGCTTCTGATGCTCAGGGGTCACCAGGGAACTATTCACAAAATGAAGTGTAGGCATAAAAATATTAAGCCCGATGATGGTTCTGTGTCAAGCTTGACACCAGCAGAACTTACATCTCAGTATGGAAAATTCAGCCTTCCAATCATTTTGGCACACAGTTTTGATTTTCGCAGATGCCAACATACGATGTTAGGGACACCATAAGAAAGCACAAAGAGAATACATTCTATTTTGCTATGCAGAGGTGTTTCTTTTAATTTTTAAAAAGTTTTTACTGATGTATATTTGTGTGTGTCATCTGTGTGAGTAAATACCTTGCATGTGAGGAGCCCTTGGAGGCCAGAAGCAGCCATAGGGTCCCTTGGAGTAGGAGTTACAGGTAGCTGTGAGACATCCAACACAGGTGCTGGGAACTGAAACATGGGGCCTCTAGAAGAGACAGGGAAGAGTTCCTAATGGCTGAGCTATCTCTGCAGCCCCATTTGTGAATCACTCTTACAATCATTTTCCTCCCAGGACTATAGTTTACCCTTTCTCATGGCAGGACAATGGGACATAAAATCTAAAGGACTCATCAGATCACAAGCCCTCCTTTTTTTGTCCCTAGAGTTAGACCAGGGCTGTTGCCCTTATTTTGTTGTTTGATTCTCATCTTTTTATTCTCTTTCTCCAACTTTGCAGGCTGTGCTTTGGTCTCTGGCTGTAACACGGTCTATGCCAGGTCCAGTGGAGTGCAGGGTGCACAAGTTTGGCCACTGGACTCACCACAGCCTTAAGTTGACCACTTTGTCTGGAGAGTAAGGGAGGCATACCAGCCAGTCACTCACAGATACTACTTTCAAAGTAGAAACCTGAGGCCAAAGGAAAGAAAAGGAAACCCCTCCATCTCTGCCCCTACTATGTGACAGCTCTCGAGCTGACACTATCTATAGATATTATCTCATGATTTCATAAATACACTGGGAAATTTTCACAACAAAGAAGGCTAGTTCAGCCTGGCTTGCAATCCACCCTAAGCCTGCTGCAGTCACCGGGAGCCACCTTCACATTTGTGTGTGTGTTTGTGTGTGTGTGTGTGTGTGTGTGTGTGTGTGTGATATCTATGTGTCATTATACCAGAACTTACTAAGCTTTTAGGGTCAATTCACTTTTTCTTTTGCTTTACTTAATTTTCACAGTTTTTGTTACTTTACATTTTAAATATTTATTTTGTGTGCACATGAGGATGGGGATGTTACAGAGCACAGGCGGAGGTCAGAGGACAACATGTGGGTATTGGTTCTCTCCTTCCGCCATGTGTTTTCTGGAGTTAAACTCAGGACATTGGGCTTGGTGACAGGTGACTTTACCTACTCAGCCATCTCTCTGGCTCTTGACTTCATTTTAAAAGGATTTATAAAAGAAGTTCGTGCAGCTCTTTATTTCTTGCCCTTCAATCCGTGGTCCAATAAAAAGCAACCTTGCAAAAAAGATAGAGTCTATAATTGCAAAAGGGCCGTTAACAATGTAAAAGAGATGATCATAGTAGCTGATCTACAGACAAATGTCTACAAACTTCCAGGGTTCAGGTGCTGTCTGTATAACATATTTGCTCATGTCTCATCAGAATATGTAACTTTTGAAGTCTAAAATGCTCATCCATCTACTACTTGGGGATGCTTGCACTTGGTCCTTGGCTATTCTGTGGCCTCAGAACTTAGAGCTATCACATTTTAAAGCTAAGATAACAAAAGTTCTTTACATTTTGTTATGTCACCAAAGTTGCCCAAGGTCACATAGCTAGGGACTGGAGAAGCCAGGACTTGCCATTTCTAATCCAGTGCTCTGTGAATATAGTCACTCCCTCTCCTACAACCTGTTTTCAGAACTCCAGTCTATAACTCCTTGGCATTTGGCCACTAATTAAGTTCTATTTCCAAATCAAGACAGGTTACAGCCCATTCTGTAACATTGTCTGCTTTTCCATAAAGTGAGGAGATCCTATCAATAGCTGTTTAAGTTCCCAAAAAGGGCACTTCAATAAGAAGCATCCAGGCTTCAAAATATGTGACTAAAAGTGATTCTTTATTCAAAGATCCAAGATAGTAGCCAAGGGAATAGAAAGGGCCCGTCACATAATACCCAGGACTCCACTGTCACTGGAAATGAGGACAAAACCCCAGCCAACAAGGGGCTGTGCTGGACTCTGGCTGACGAGGTGGTGGAGTAGGCTTGTTAGAACTCTAAGTTCCCACTTCCTGTCATCGGTTTAAAATTAATTGGCATGAATTTTTATGAGAAGACAGCAAATAGGTGAAAAGGGCTGTAGAAGTGGCTTAGCCTGCCTTGCTGCAAGTCCTCATTCTCTCAACCAAGACTTAGCAGCTGCAGCAACAGAACATAGCCCTGATCAGTCTCTCCCAGTCCAACAACCCCCTCTCTGGAGTACTCTGCCCACCAATCCACATCAGAATTAATCAAGTACTATTGTCTGTGATATTGCAGCCACAGATTGCTTTCTCCTTTAAAGTCATTTTTATTTACCAGAATATGCTAAATATTTTTAAAAGTCCCTACCACCTGGCAGTGTCAATTTAGATTCAGGCCCCTCTAGGCTTTCTTTAAGAATACTGAGAAACAGATGTAGACATAGTATGTGTTCAGATGTTTTCCAAAGCAGGGTCACACCATGTACACTGACTTTAATGTCTTTTTAACTTAGTAAAATAACATACTCTGAAATGGCTATATAGATGGATAATTAAATCCCCCACTGATGGAGGTATAAGCGTTCCAATTTTTTGCTAATTAATATTTCATACATATTTCTCACGTGGCAGTTTGATTATGTACTTAAGCTATGCTGCTGAACAATTTTTTTAAAAATGTGTAAATACCCCTCACAAAAGAATGTATCACTTTAATCTCTACCATCAGTCTCTGATGTGCATACCAGCTTCGTTTGCTCTTGTCAATATTAAACATTAGGATATTGGTTTATCTCTGTTGGTGTGGTAGGTGCATGATGCCTTGGTATTTTAATCTGCATATCTTCAATATAAACATGTTTTTTTACATGTCTTAGCAAATAACTTTGTTGGGGAGTTAACATTCTTGCTGCCCTTTACCTATTTCTGAGTAGGTGCTGGACTCTCCGTGTTGGTACAAAAGGATTTGCCATTTGTCTGTTCCTTTATTATTACTGTTGCAGTGGCTGCTATTGTTAGCATTCTTCCAGTGTGTTCAATCACAGCACCAGCTCCCAATTGCTTCCACCAGAGTCCTGGATAGCTGTTTTGACACCATCCTGCATGTCACACTGGCCCTGGCCAATTATTCACCAATGCCTATCAATTCTACCTTCAAATATACCTTAAATCAGTTCATTTTTCTCCCTCCACAAGAGCTGAGGGAGATCTGGGCCTCTCTGCCTGTATTAAGCATGCTGAGCATGTTAACTCTCCAGCGGAGTTCATTGCTAAGAGATGTAGAAAACAATGTTTACAATGAAGAGATGCAGATTTAAAAAACCAAGGCACCATGCACCTACCACATCAGCAGAGATAAACCAGACCCTCAGTTCCACAATCTCACCAAGCCACTGATGCCTCTCACACAGATTTCTGCAGGAACCCTCTGTCCATGTGGCACACATCTTCTACTGCCATTCTCTTCTCATAAGTCTGCGTGATTTTTTTTTTAATAAATGAATAGCCCTGCCAAACTTCCTGCTCTACTAAAATTAAAACCTGGAATCAGTGGAGTCCTTGAGCCTTACAAGGCTGTTTCTAGAAGCTGGGAACAGCACTTCTGGGTGTTATCTGTCTGTCTATTCATGTCCCTAGCATTACAGGTACATTGCACCATACCTGCTTCCTCCAGATTTTAATGATGACAGAAAAAACATGAGGGGACAAACCAGGTCTGTATCAAATGCCAGGATTTGGCTTAAAGCAATCATGAAGGACCATCACATTTTTTCCCCACACATAAAATTCAAGTCTTAGCCTTGGCAACAGCATCCTAGAACTGGGGGTGCCTGGAAGGCTACATCCACAGCACATGCTCCTTTGCAGCTCCAGTGTCTCTCTACCCTCTGGGCCCATATTCAATAAATGTCTCTTCAATGGACTCAATTTTAAGTCAAATTATGTAGTAATTACATCAAATTTACCCTCTTCCCTCCCACATTCAAAAATAAATTTGCATGACTGGAATTATTGACTTGATGAATTTTTCTTTCTATAGAGTGAGACAGATATTTATAGATATTTCCTCTTACGTTATTTTTCTGAGTTAAATGGGGGAGGGAAGCAGATAGAGGGAGTGAGGCTCTTCTTTCCTCTGACTGCATCTCTATGTCTCTATTCTGCTCCCCAAGTCTGTCTTGTCCTCAGTACAGCATCTAGTCACCATATTTACTGAGACTCTGTTCACTCTACCCCCACTCTCCTACAGGGACCCAGAGAGGGACATAAAAAGTCAGGTGGGATATCAGTTGTTAACTTGACGGGATCTAGAATTACCTGGGATATGAACCTCTGAGCATACTGGCAGGAAGACCCATCATAATTGAAAGTGAGTCTATTCTCTGGGCAGGGCTTCTAGACTGGATAAAAGGAGAAAGTGAGCGGAGTTTCAGCTTGCCTACATTGCTGTCTATTTCAGATCGTGCGTGTGATTAGACAGGATATTTCCAACTCCCACGGTCTTATTGTCCCTGCCAGGATAGAGTGGACCTTGAACTGTGAGCTTGAATGAACCCCTTTCCCCTTAAGCTGCCTTTTATCACAGCAACAGGAAAAGAAATGATGATAGGTGTAGTGCCATTTCTTCAGGTCAGGGTGGAATCTTCTCAAGTTAATCCACCCCAGTTGCCAGGGACCTGTTGATAACTTGCTTTTGTCCCCTC